TGGTTTTTTGTGTCTCTTTTTATCATTTGGATAATTACATTTTTAAGGTGGGTTTTTTTTAAGTATTTTTTTTGGTACCTCCTTTACTAAGCTGTTGACTCTCTTTTCACAATTTTCTCTCACTTCTTTTCCCAATTTTTCTTCTACCTCTCTAATTTAATTTTTTAAATTCTTTTTGAGCTCTTCCTGGAGCTCAAAGAGAACTTCCTCTCTTTTGGCTCCTGGTCAACTCACATTTTTCTTTGAAGCTCTGCATTTGAAACTTTGTTTTAACTTCACTGTCTTCTTCGAGTTTGTCTGAATCTTCCCTGTCACCTTAGTAAATTTCTATAGTCAGGTTCATTTTTTGTTGTTTGCTCATTTTTCTAGCCTGTTTTTTGACTAATAATTTTATATTAATGTTGAGCTCTGTTCTCAGGGTTGACGGGGCACTCTCCCAAGCTTTAGGCCATACTTGCTGCTGTTTTCAGAACTAGCTCTGGAAGTATGTAAGTTTTCAGTGTCTCCAAGGTTGCACGATCTAAGAAGTGTGCTCTCATTGTTTTCCTGGCCTGTGCTCTAACATATGAGAGAACACAGCACTCTTCCCTGCCCTGGACTGTGACCAGGGTCCCTGCACTCCTGTATTTGCAAGCGTTCGTGAACGAGTGTTCCTTTTAGCTCTGGGACTGCAACTCAGAACTGTGTGTGGGCAATGTGACAGAGTCCTGCACCCAATGCTAGCAAAGTGGTCCCTGTCATCTCCTTCTGACCAGTTGTCCAACCCTCTACTCTTTGTGGGTTGGGAGCTCCGAAAGCTTCTGCTGCTGCTGAACTGCCTCCAATGCCTATTGTTGGGGCCTGGTGTAGCCTGCAGTATACTGACAGCACTGGGCTCCAGGTCTGACCACCCCACCATTCCCAATGAGATAGACCTTTCCTGCCAACCTCCTAAGTTGTCCTGGGCTGGGAAACTGTTTCACCCTGACCTACTTGGTGCATATGTTTAGCATTGCTATTACTTCATTGTCTATGGTACTTCTTAGCAAAATGTAGTTTCCTTGCTTATCTCTTTTAATAGGTCTATTTTTGCTTTTGTTCTGTCTGAGATCATGACTGCTACCCCTGCTTTTGATTCTGCTCCAGCCTTTTATTTTCACTCTGTGGATGTCTCTCTGCTTCAAGTGTATTTCTTGTAACCAAATACTGTCATATTCTGGTTTTTAATCTACTCTGCTATCTGCTTCCATTTTATGGGTGACTTCACCCCATTCACATTCACAGTTATGATTCCTAACTGTGTATTTCCCTCCATTCTATTTTCTCCTGTTTATTCTTCTCTCTCTTTTTTCTTTTACTCTGTCCCTCCCCAAAAGTCTATGTGATCCTGGGCAAGACACTTAACCTCTGTTTGCCTCAGTTTCCTCATTTGTAAAATTAGGATAATAATAGCACCTACTTCACAGGGCTGTTGCGAGGATCAAATGAGATAATATTTGTAATGTACTTACCATCGTCCCTGGCACATCGTAGGATCTTAATAAATGGCTATTCCTGGGGCGTGGAGCCAAGATGGTGGATTAAAGGCAGGGACTCACCTAAGCTCTCTCAAATTCCTCTCCAAACAACTTTAAAATAACTCCTCAAATCATTGGAGGGGGGAGATAATAAATGCTTATATAAATAAATGAATAAATAAATAAGTGATAGGATGTTTATTAAACTCTTACCCCCAAAACAGGTAGAATTTCAGGCAGACTAATATTCAAGTAGAAAAAGGTAGGCAGGGAGGAGAAAGCTTTTGGATTGGAAAGCCATGTAACAGGACAAACAACTCTTTCTGAGAGTCTTTCCTTAGAGTCTCTGTACCCAGGGGCTTAAAGACTACTTGTAAACTTACATAAAGAAAAGAGCCTTCTAACCTTCTTTTTGAACAATCACTCCTATACCTGATGATATTGTAAGAATTTCTCTCTAACATACAAATAGCTCAATCTGTAAATACAAAAATATTTATTAAAATTCTGAAAAGGAAACAGCACTATACATTTTTTTAAACTTTTCACATTTCACATTCTAGATATCTGAATCAAGACCTGCAAGTTTAGGCCTGCCTCACACTCTAAACGTTCAACTTTAAAAAGTAGATGCCAGTTGTTCCAAATTCTGGAAATTTGCTGAATTTCTGTGATGTATAATATTGCTAACAAGGCAAAGCTTTTTGTTCTTGCATGTAGCATACAATGGATGGAACATGTGAATGATCATATGATTACAAAAGCTACTCACAAACTAGCTTTGCATTTTAGCTTTGAAACAAAAACAATGTCTTGGGAGCAGCAAAGCATCATGTGATGATACCATACTAATGGCTAAGTTTTCAGAGAAACCACAACTCAACATTTTCAGCATCAAATGTGGCACTTTCCTTTATCAATATTTTACTTGTCAGCTCACAGCAGTCAGATCATACAAGACATAAATGCACTTAGTAGCATTTTTAAAGTCTAGCTTCAAAAACTGATGTTCTGAAAATTCTGTATCTGTTCTGTAAATACTTTAACTGTTTCTGCAATAATGACAAAACCTTATCAATTAACATATATCATATTATAATACAAAATTTAAATCATATGAAAGCTTAAAACACACCAAAATACATGCAAATATTCTTTCACAAGTTCAGCAAAACAATGAATTTTTGTAACAGCCCTCCTTCAGCGAAAACACTAAAAACATTTCTTTAAAAATTACCTGCTTAATCAAGAGAGCTGCTGCTATGTTATTCAAAGACCATTCTCTGGTTTAAGTAAATCCAGTAAGTTTTAGCTATATTTCAATAAAATTATACTGTTCTCTCTTAATATAATTTCATTATTTGCACTAAGTGCAAAAGGTGTTTCCTTTTATCCCAAGAACCATCTTCCATGCTTTTATACGTTTCCTGAGACTGGTTTTTCATCATTTGTGGATCTGTTAATGAAGAATTCTCATTTATAATGCAACCAGAATACTGCCCATAGTAGAGACAAAGCAGTATTAAAAAAAAAAAAATCACAAACTCTAGGAGATAAAGAATCTAGTCTTGGCTCTGCCATTTAAAAATTTTGTTCTGTTCACTTACATGGTAGCATGGCTTCAGAATAAATTACTATCTTATATGTACAATTATCTTCTCTACTTATTCCATTTACTCATTCATCCAGAAAGCATTTTTTAACTGACTAATATGTAAAAAACAAAACAAAACCAATGCCCAGTCCAGGAGAAGAGGAAGAAGTAAATAAGATGCTATATTGGACAAGGATGAGCTTACAATCTAGCATAGTACTGTTACTTAATCATTTTTATATAAATATCACTCCAATGTAAAAGAGAAGGTAGTTTGATAATTAAAAGCTTATGAGTCACATTCAAGACTGACATTTAAAATTCCTAAGACCCCTATTACTACTTCTTTCTAAAGGCCAAATTGTTTATTCTTTTGTTTTAGTATAGAAGGGATGGAATAATGTGACAAGAAAAATAAATGATAACACTTGGCTTTCCATTTAATATTATTGACATTACTTTTCTAAAATTAAGGTAGAAGAATTATTTTCAAAAGGTAGAATTTAAGTGCCAACCATTCCAAATCAAACAGCACTGATGAACAAAACAGGCAGAGCAGATTTTTTTTTAACATTTTCATCTGGAAAACTACCGATATCTGAAATATTTCAGTAGAGAAAGCTAGATGGTGTAGTGAATAGAATGATGGACTTGGAAGTCAGGAAGGGCTGGGCTTGAATTCTACCTTAGATACTTAATACTTGTGGGACTCTGAGCAAGCCATTTAATCCTTCTCAGACTCAGTTTCCTTATCTGTAAAACCAGAATAAGGATAGCACCCTAACAGGATTATTGTAAGGATTAAATGAAAATGTTTATGTATATATCTGTATGTATGTATGTATGTATATATGCAGATATACAGGTTTATAAACCTTAAAGCATTATGTAAATGATAACTATTATTATTCTATATTGTGTACACAGCTAGACAACCTTCAGCAAATGATACCATCCTTGATATGTTTCCTAACAACCTGGTGCTCCAATAATAACAAGAAAAAATAAAGATGTTCTCTACCTCCTGCAGCCTTCTTACACTTTCTACCCCCTCCTTGTAATCTTTGATCCAGTGACACTGGGTTTCTGGCTGTTCATGACTCAGCACCAGGTATTTTCTCAGGTTGGAATGCTCTTCCCTCCTCATTTCTGCCTCCTGGCTTCCTTGGCTTCTTTCAAGTCCCAGCAAAAATCCCACCTCGTACAGGAAGCGTTTCCCCCCAATCCCTCTTAAATCCAGGCAGGGCCTTTCCTCTGTTGACTATTTCCTATTTAGTTTATATATAGCCTGTCTGTATGTATTTGTTTCTATGTTGTTTCCCCTATTGGACTGTGAGCTCCTCAAGGGCAGGAGACTGTCTTTTGCTTTTCTTCACATCCCTAGTACTTATCACAGTGCCTAGCACATAGAAGGCATTTAATAAATGCTTACTGACTGACTGCAGATGAGAAAAATTTTGAAAGATAAAGGAGAGGGGCAGCTAGGTGGCACAGCAGATACCATCCCTGAACTGAGTTTAAATCCAGCCTGAGACACTTACTAGCTGTGTGACCTTGGGCAAGTCACTTAATCCCAACTGCCTCAAAAAAAAAAAAGGAAAGAAAAAAAAAGAAAGATAAAGGAGAGGACATGATTTTAATTTGGAAAGTTTAATTTAATTAAAATTGAAAATCTTCCAAACTAAGAATGTCCCACAGTGTTTTACCACTGATTCTAAATTCTAGTGTGCTGATACTAGACATTAACTTGATGTCCAAAAGTGTTTTACCACTGATTTTAAGTTCTGGCATGCAGAATTTCAAATTTTAAATACAGAGTATAGGTACCACCACATTTCAATTACTAAAGAAAAATAATGATTTATATTCATTTATCCTAAATTTAATAATCAAATAGTTAACATGCTCACCGACACAGATATGTCCTCAGTTTTTCTTTTAGTACTGGAGTCGAACAAGACATTCCTTCCTCTTCTTTCACAATCTTGATACACAATTAGTCGAATCTGGCTTGGATCAAACTCTGACAAAGGCCAACTTCAATGAAAAACAAAAATCCATTAAGCCTTGTATTTTATCAAGTACCCTATATAATTATTTTCTAAATGTACACTATATTAGCCAACTCAAATGTTCCATATTCTTTGGCTATTTAAAAAAGTATCTCTCTTCAATGACACAACTGAAGAGTAATACGGTTTTAACAAGATTACATTTAATACTGGCATACACAGCTTTACTTTTTTAACTTAAAATATTTTGTTTTCCAATTACATGAAAAATCAATTTTTAACATTTCTGTTTTTTAATTTTGAGTTCCAAATTCTTTCCCACCCTTCCTCACCTCCCCTGTCATTAAGAAAACAAACAATTTGATATAGGTTATACATACACAGTCATGTATAACATTTTCATTAGTAGTCAGGTTGGTACACAAGCTTTACATTATGGGTAGATGCTATAGTAGCTAAGCATTAGTTAACTTAAAATATTTTGTTTTCCAATTACATGAAAAGCAGGAGGACCTGAGTTCAAATTCTGCTCAGGCACCTACTGCACCTACTACTACTACTTCCTGACACAGTTTTCTCTTCTGTAAAATGGGAATAATAAAAACACCTTATTTCCTGGAGTAGTTGTAAGATAAAATGAGACATCTGTAAATCACTTTGCAAACCTTAAAGTGCTATGTGAATGTTAGCCATTTTTATTGTTATCTGTCATAAGCTTAAACCTAAATGCAACAAAGGAGGAATCAATTAACATCATTAAATAATCAGTGGGCAAAATGTATAATGGAGCATCACTAAAACAACATTCATTAATACTGATAATTCAGCAGGTAAGTCTATCAAGGACTGAAGAAACTGAGGATGTTTAGCCTAGGGAAGAAATGATAATTTAGGGGGACCATGTTTGCAGACTACAAGTATGAATAAACAAAAGAAAAAACATTTAAGTGCTTAATATGTATAAAACACTGTCTTAAATGCTGGGGGTATAAACAGAAAAGTAACACAGTGTCTGTACTCAAGGAGCTTACATTCTGATAGGGAGAGATAAAACAAGAGGTTTCAGCTATAAATCATATATAAAGGAATAGCACAGCTACAAAGAAATAGTGCTTCTTTAATATCTTTTCCATTAATAAAATCAAATCTATTTCTTTTTAAAATGTTAACTCTGAACTTAAATATCAAATTAGCATTTGCACAAAGTAGACAGATAGGAAAAAGAGGACTGTACATGAAACAAAGCACTGCTATTATGTAGAGCTTGTTTTGGTAATTATATAATAAATGTAACATGTGCCTTTCAAAACTGTCCTGCTTCTCTTTTTTTTTAGATATAATTTTTATTGATATCTTTAGATTTTTTAAAATCATCAAAATTCAATCACTCAATTTCACCTAACCCCTTCCAGAGAGCCATCCCATAAACAAATACTTTTTAAGGGAAAAAAAATCAGAAAAACTAAACAATACATCAAAAAAAGTCTAAATATATGTACAATGTACCACATCTGTGAATCACCCTCTGTAGAAAGCTATTAAAGTGAGAGGGACACTCAACCCACAAACTCAGAAGAAGAGAATGACTATAAAATATTTATAAGCAAAGCCTGAAAGAAAAACACAACATGGACACAAATCCAACTAGAATTCCTAAAAGAGATGAAGTAAGAATTTAAAAATGTATTTACGTGTGAAATAAGAGCATAAGAGGAAAAAAAATTGAAAAGAGACAAGAGATGTGGAAGAAATAATTGGAAAGGGGATTAACAGCTTGGCACTAGGGGTTACAAAACACTGTCCAAACAACAAATTTCCTGAAATTTTTCGAATGAATCAAATAGAAGCAAATGGCTCTATGATACTACAAAAAGTATTAGAACAAAGTAAAAAAAGACTAAAAAAAAAAAAAGGAGAAAATGTAAGATATCACAAAGCAAAAACTGACCTACAAAATGGATAAAGGAGGAAAAATTTAAGAATCATTGGATTATCTGCATGTCATAACTAAAGAAATCTTAAAAGAAAATCTGCCCAAATCTCTTAGAACCAAAGAACAAAGTACAAATACTAAGAATCTGTCACTTTTCTCCTAAAAGAAACTCCAAAATGAAAAGCCTGAGGAATATGATATCCAAAATTCAGAGTTTCCAGATCTTAGAAAAAATATTGCAAACAGCCAGAAAAAAAAGAATTCAAGAACCAGGGAACCACAGTCAGGAATACATATGATTTAGCAGCACCTATAAAGGGGTAGAGAAATTGGAATATAATATTCCAGAAGTCAAAGTACATGGGCTTACAGCCAAAAAAAACTTACCCAGCAAGCCCGAGTATCATGCTGCAGAGGTGGGGTAGGGGTGGGGGGAACCCAACCTTTAATGAAAAAGACTTCCAATAATTCCTGATGAAAAGACCAAAGCTATGTAGAAACTCTAAAGTATGAACACAGGAGTGAAGAGAAATATAAAAAGGTAAACACGAGAACAAACATAAAGGACCAAATAAGGATAAACTGCTTACATTCAAATATGGGAAGATGATACATGTACCCCCTCTGATTTCTATCATTATCAGAGTTCATAGAGGGAATCCAAATACAGGTATACCTCAGAGATATTGTGGGGTCAATTCCAGACCACCACAATGAAGCAAATGTTTCAATAAAGTCACACGAAATTTTTTGTTTTCTAGTGCAATATAAAAGTTATGTTTATACTATACTGTAGTGTATTAAGCATGCAACAGAACCTACTGATAGAGGGCAGCTAGGTGGCGCAATGGATAAAGTGCTGGGCCTGGAGTCAGGAACACTTATCTTCCTGAGTTCAAATCCAGCTTCAGACACCTAGGTAAGTCACTTATTCCCGGTTGTCTCAGTTCCTCATTTATAAAATGAGCTGGAGAAGGAAATGGCAAACCACACCAGCTTCTCTGCCAAGAACCCCAAATGGGATTGCAAAGGGTTGGACATGACTGAAAAATGACTAAACAACAATACAATAATAGAGAGATGCAAAATGAGATATATGTCCATAACAGAATTTTATTTTTTTGTTTTGTTTTGTTTTTGCTCAGTTGTACATGTGTATAACAGGGTTTTGTTTTTCTTTCATTCTCAACTGAGCTAGTGGAAAGGAGGTAGGCAGGGAGGGAGAGACAGTGAATTTTTGCTGATAAAAGAAATAAAATTTAATTTAAAAAACAAACAAAAAAGACTATCTCTTGCCCATAGCAATGAAAGGTATATGATCTGTTCCTCTTCTATTTTTGAATAGCATGATCTTTAATATTAAGATTACATATCCACTTAGAATTTATTGTGGAAAACTGTGTAAAGTGTTGGTTTGAGTCTAATTTTTTCTGGAATGCTTTCTAATTTTGAAAGAAAGATAATTGTCCTGCTCTTCCTCAAACAGGTTCTGGGAAGAACTGAACAATGGGAGAAGGAGGCTACCAGAGTTCAAAGGATGTTTTAGGGTTGAGGCCCCAGGCACTGAGGGAATTTCCAGGGTGAAAAGGCAGCTGAGACTTGCTGACAGTCTGGAGAGCTGTTATTTTTTTTAATTAATTTATTCATTTTTAGTTTTCAACATTCACTTCCATAAGATTTTGAGTTTTAAATTTCCTCCCCTTTATCCTTCCCCCTTCCCAAGATGGTATACAATCTCATATAGGTTCTACTTATGCATTCATATTAAACATATTTTCACATTAGTCATGATGTAAAGAAGAATTAGAACTAATGGGATGAACCATGAAAAAGAACAAAACAAAACAACAAAAGAAAAGGAGAGCAAACAATATGCTTCCATCCACATTCAGACTCCATAGTTCTTTCTCTGGATGTGGACAGCATTTTCCATCATGAGTTTTGTGGAGTTGTCTTAGATCCTTGTATTGCTGAGAACAGCTAAGTCTATCAAAGCCAGTCATCACAAAATGTGGTTTTTACTGCATACAATGTTCTCCTGGTTCTGCTCATTTCACTCAGCATCAGTTCATATAAGTCTTTACAGGTTTTTCTGAAGTCAGTTTGCTCATCATTTCTTATAGCACAATAGTATTCCATTACATTCACATACCATAACTTGTTCAGCCATTCCCCAATTGATGGGCATCCCCTCAATTTCCAATTCCTGGCCATCACAAAAAAAGATACTATAAATAATTTTGTATATGTGGGTCCTTTTCCATTTTTATGATCTCTTTGGGATACAGCCCTAAAAGTGGTATTGCAGGGTGAAAGGATATGCAGTTTTATAGCCCTTTGGTCATAGTTTCAAATTCCTCTCCTGAATGGTTGGATCAGTTCACAACTCTACCAACAATGTATTGGTGTTTCAATTTTTCCTACATCTTCTCCAACATTTATCATTTTCCTGTTCTGTCACATTAGCCAATCTGATAGGTGTGAAGGAATACCTCAGAGTTGTTTTGATTTGAATTTCTCTAATCAATAGTGATATAAAACATTTTTCATATGACTACAGACAGCTTTAATTTCTTCCTCTGAAAACTGCTTGTTCATATCCTTTAATCATTTGTCATTTGGGGAATGAATTGTATTCTTATAAATTTGACTTAGTTCTTTATATACTTTAGAAATGAGACCTTTATCAGAGACACTGGTTGTAAAACTTCTTTCCCAGTTTTTGGCTTTCCTCCTAATCTTGGTTGCATTGGCTTTGTTTGTGCAAAAACTTTTCAATTTAATGTAATCAAAATCATCCACTTTGCATTTCATAATGTTTTCTATCTCTTGTTTGGTCATAAATTCTTCCCTTCTCCATAGATTTGATAGGTAAAGTATCCCTTGATCTCCTGGTTTGCTTATAGTATCAGCCTTTATATCTAAATCATGTACCCATTTTGACTTGATCTTGGGATAGGGTGTAAGATGTTGGTCTATGCCTAATTTCTGCCATACTATTCTCCAGTTTTCCCAGCAGTTTTTGTTAAATAGTGAGCTCTTATCCCAGAAGCTGGAGTCTCTGGATTTATCAAATAGCAGATTGCTATAGT